AGCTCCAACTTGTATTTGTGCTTGATCCTGGCGTCTTGTGGCCTATCCGGATGCATATGGATCCCGGTTGGCGACCGGCGTCTGTTGGCACGAGTTGCAGCCGCCATATGGGAGCATGGGAAGGTTATCTTCATTAGCCGGGGTCTATAATCCCCATCCTTCTTAGCTAGTTTCATCAATTGTTGAGTCAATATGTTCTTGAGCTCCGAGAATTGCTTGATGAATTTCCAATCCATAATATCAGAGTATGTGTGACGAGAATCCGTGTTTTCTGATACATCTTGCACGATGATATTTCTTCCGTAGAAAAACTTCTCGTGAGATTCTTTAGGAATGTCCCGGATGGGATTGCGATCAGAATACGGTATGTCGGACTAGCTAACAGGACATCCCCTACGTCGGTAGCATTCTTAAGTGTTACACGAAGTAGCCTCGGTTGATTTTGACGCCTAGAGTCCTTTCCCAGAGTTAGCCGCAAGACAGTCAAAAGCTCCATTCAAGTAGGTTCAAGCTTCTTGTTCAGTTCTCCCCAAAGCATCCCGTCATTTTTGTACTGCAAACTGAGAGGAAGGTCAGGGTTGTGTTCGAGGTTCATGATTATGAGAGAGCCATCACGAACCATCATTGTTTTTCCAGGTTTTCCGGTGCGTTCAGATTCAGCACCTTGTTGTTTGGAGGTCGAAACACGTTTCTGATTCTTAGACTCTTTGATGACTGGACGAACATTCTTGGGGGTAGAGTGTGCGGTCAAGTCACCAGTTGATTTCCGTACAATACTTGGAATGTTCAGCTTAGACGGTGACGCCTGGTCCTTGTTAGCTCTGTTAAAGTGAGTCCAATGACTTGCAGAGTTTTTTGGGAACCATTGTTGCATTCAAGGTCCCTGTGCTGAGAGACCCGAGTTTGCTGAGGGACTCTATTGCCGTCGACGTTATGATGGTGCTGAGTTTCACTATGCCGTCACTAGTGCTAATGCATGCTCCATGGATGGTAGACCTGTCGACATCCGTATTCTTGTTTTCATCGCCCGTCCTTGTTTGTCTACCCGTTTTATGACTGTATTTTTCCAAGTTTGCTAACAACTTATTCCGCACACCTGTCAATAGGACATTGATGTTACTCAGCAAAACTACGGCATCCGTGTTGCACGTAACACATACCCACTTATGATCCGACATGCTGAGTCTGTCGTAAGCAGTTGCTGTGAGATCTGTGCACGCTTCATGGAGCCAGCCTTTGAAGTTACCGCACTTCATGCCAGATGTAACAGTTAAACGACATCCAGGTTGTTCGCATGCATTGTTCATGACTATATTGACATAAACTGTATAACAGATGCTAGCACAAGCCTAACACCTTCAGAAAATACACTAAAAACACACTATAAACGGGCAAAAGCGGATAAAAGCCAATGAGACGAACTGAACTAGCCTTTGCGTGAAAGTCTGAAGAAAAAAACCGAACAGTAAGCTACGGCAAAACCACAGTTAACTATTAAATTGGGTGAAACTCGAAAAAATCTATCGAACGAATAGCTCAGAATATTCTTTAGATCATAAATGGTGATTTTGTTGCGTAAGAACACAGCAAAAGTTTGGGAAGTGCAAACTGCGTTAGGACTGAACTTCACTTTCGAAGAGCGCGCTTTGTCAAGAGATCTAAGGTTCAGAGAATGAGCGTGAATACTGCATAGATTTTTAATTTCGTTGAGTGTTGACTGACGCTGTTTGGTGGAACAAACTTGATGTTAATCCCAAATCTCACGAACTCCCAACTTTTCTGTGACGTTGTTTGTTTCCAAGTTACGCTCTCTCGAGTTTAGATTGATCAAAAGGCGGTAATGGCCAATTAATTCCTCATATTGATGTGGCAGATGTCTAAAAAGATGCGGAAAATGTCCAACTACTACTAACTACGTAAAATGTACTATTAGAAAAATGTAAGTAAAAACGAGACCAACTGTACTTGATTAAAATTTTTCCTAGGGTGTACAGACGCTTGATAGTACAGTAAAAAAGAATCGTTTAAATAAGTGAACTAGATTCTACCTAAATAAAATGTATCAGCCAATTCAGTTTGCTCCAAAGTTCAACAACCTACTACAAAATGATAAGTATATATGAAATGAGAAGCAACGGTCCTTAGACAAACAGGGAGCAAGCTTCAGTGTTAACGATATATAGCAGAAGCAATCAGCTTACAAAGCAACTAATGAAGTATGGTGACCAAGTATGGAGATGGCTGGAGGCAACATTAACTAGAACAAACATGGAACAATTTCAACGTTGTCAAGGTATACTCAGTTCCAGGACCAGTAGGTATTGAAGCAAATGATGATTAAAAACAAACCAGCAAACAGGGACTCACAATATAAAAAAGAATGAGGACAGGAAAACCATTACGAATAGAGAGGAATAAACATTTCCATGTGAAGGGGATTTTCACATAGGCAAATACATATGTCGAAGAGTTTGTAACATTTAGGTCTACATCGGTATGAGTGCACTTTGCTACTAGAATAATAAACTTAATCTAAGATTTTGAACTTCCCATTATGTGACTATCTAATCTGTCAGACCTATCGTGGAATTCAATTCATGATCTATACTGACTCATCAAGTCTTAACAGTCACCGGTCGACAGACAGAGCAAATCCATCAACAACAATATTGTCGAACGCGCCAAGAATCGCTCAAACCTTTTGAGGAAGCCTAGATGAAAATAGTTTCATAAAAGACCTTTACCGGAAATTTGGTGGCCAATGTAATCTCCTATTCCCAACAGTGTATCTGATGCAGATCCATGTTCCATTTAGATATTGTTGTACAGTTTATATAACCTTTGCCTGTTGATTGAATATTCACATGTAGTGCCTTCACTATCGTGAGAAACTAAGGTCTTAAGTATCTTACACTTCGTGATGTTTTTCAATTCCAGGAACTCGGAGCTAGTAGAACTAGAAGTCACAAACGAGGGGGTTCGAAAAAATATTTGTGGAATGTTTGATTCATATGGTTTTAGCAGACTAGTTGTTTCGAAAGATGCACACCACGGTGTACTCAAAACGCCATCGGGTAAGTACACTTATCCAAACGTATCCAACGTGAGATCAGCATCAGACTCGAAGACTTACAGAATTGCTTAATTTGGAGGATTATTTACTACTACAAGACCAGTAACATTTAAAATCATTTGACTTCTTATCAAGATCATCAGGATCGTGGCAAAAGTAAAGCGTCCCTTCAAGAAGCTACAAAGTCCAAATATCATTACACGTCATTTTGAACCTTGAGAACTCGATCCTGCCAACGCCGCTTAGCGTGATGTTTTCACACTCGCTAAGACGAGGCAAATAACCGGAAAATTGGAAGTTGGCTCACATCACACCAATTTTCAAAGGAGGTCGACGCAATGAACCTTCAAGTTATCGGCCGGTGGCTCTTCTGTCATGGAGTCCCTGATATGCGACGGTTTAAACAACTATCTACTGTCCTTAAATTTCTTCTCACCCCAACAGCATGGTTTCAGGAAGGGTTACTCTTGTATAAACAACCTGCTGACTGCGGAGGACAGATGGACAAGCATCCTCGATTACAAGGGAAAGGTTGATATCATTTACCTTGAATTCTCAAAAGCTTTTGATAAGGTTAACCACTTGTGTCTTATCAACAAGCTCAAACGACTAGGTATCAAACCACCTCTAATCGACTGGCTTACTTCATACCTAAAAAATCGACACTTCAAGGTTAGGGTTAATTTCACTTTATCTGAGGCCATGGAATGTCCTAGTGGGTTCCCCCAGGGCTCAGTACTAGGGCCTCTTCTCTTCTTGATATACATAAATGATCTTCCTCAACAGGTAACGTCAGACTTATTACTTTTTGCCGACGACGTGAAACTTTGGAGAGAGATACGCAACCAAGACGATACACAGGCACTTCAGGAGGATCTGACGCGACTTCATAGTTGGGCAGACGATAATGGACTTACCTTTAACACTTCAAAGTGTAAAGTAGTCAATCTGAGACATGTCGCAAACTACAGTTACAACTTAGGAAACTCCTCTCTAGTAGTATCCGAAGTTGAAAAAGATTTAGGAGTCCTGGTGCCCCATGACTTAAAGTCTTACGCTAACTGTGACAAAAATGCCCTCCGAGCAAACCTTGTACTGGTAACGTTGAAGCGCATTTTCGGACAGTTTGATGGACGAACTTTCCATACAATCTTCAGTAGTTTCACCCGTCTCCATCTAGAGTACGGAAGCATAGTACTCCCCCCCACTCTAAAAGGACAAGGTCACTTTGGAGAGTATCCAAGGACGAGCCACGAAATCAGTTCGAGAACTCAAATCTAAACCTTACGAAGAACACCTCCATTCACCAGACTTTTACCCATTAGAGTATAGGCGTCTTAGAGGTGATTTATTAATGGCTTATAGTATTCTTAACACTTCTGGACATCCTCTTAAACACCTACTTAAGCTTAGTTCGAATAATAACCTAAGGAGTAACACCCAGAAACTGGAGACACAACATAGCAAGACGGAATGTAGACACAACTTCTACTCCTTAGGAGTTGTCAGAAGCTGGAATTCGTTGCCAGCCGAGCTAGTCCAAGCGACTTCTCAGGAGTCCTTCAAGAGGCAACTTGACCTATTCTTAAGGACCAAGGACAGCATCACACTATGATTTACCAATTTCTTTTCTTCTTTTATTGTTAACATACCTAGGTTCCTGCCTGGAGGATTTGGTGATCCCCTGCTACTAGACACGGAAGTCTGTTAAGAGAAAGCTTCTTCTATTCCATCCACAACCATTTGAACCATTTAGAACTCAACGGACTATGTTACTAGAATTACTTACTTTACAAAAGTGGCAATATAATGTCAATTTTCAAGCACTTCACATTAAACGCAAGGTTTTATGCAATCTATTTAGGGCATATAACTTATCAAGTGTATGAAACACACTCATTGTAATTTGAATTGAGGGGCCAGTCAAAGAAACCCGCGGACTTTGCGTTTCTGATGCTACTTGTAGATTTTTTCAGTGTTATCTCAGGAAGTGTGTTTCTTCTTGGAGTAGTTTCGACAGAATCAAGGACCTATGTAGTGGTAAAGTCAGATGATTTTTGTTATTCCATGTCCGGAACCATTCTGTATTAGACCAATGTTTAGTCTTATAAGATATCTTATGACAAGTGGTAGCTTGTAATATCGTTTAATGTGAATATAAATGGCTTTTTCAATTAATTAAAGGAATTGAGTTGCCAAAATTTTACGTTTCAGAGAGGGGTCTGGTCGTACTTATTCGAATGTATGAAATACGAAAACTATAAGGACTGACTAGCCGCTATTAGTTTAGTAGATGTTATTTCAAAAAATGGATTAATAGAATATGTATCATAGTCAGTAATCTTTCTAGTTGGTGGTGCTATTTATGCATCTCGGTCTTCACCATAATACGCGACACTGTATTAACTCGAACTGTCAGACTACATTAGTGGGACGAGATGAAACTAACCACATGGATAGGATACCATTTAATTATTGATGATAATAAAACGGAATTAGTGTTGATAATACGGTCCATAAAGGAATGTAAATGTATATGTACACAACTCATGTCCATGTCGTCCTGTATGGAAACTTTAACGATTCATTAGCTTGTACTATCACCATATAATGGCATTTTAACATTTGCCAGAGACTAAGTCTCATGGTAAAAAGTGCTGAAGACAGTTCAGAAGTCAATTGACTGTGGTCAGAACCACATCTTTGTTGAGGTTGCTGAAAAATGTTACCCGTTTTAACATAATTCATAAAGTACAGGTTCATATACTCGACTTTGAATTACACCTTTATCTGAAAGCTAGGGACACTACCAAGTTCGTTGGTGACCACCTGAATCTGTCGTCGGATTTTCAAGAGTTGAACAACCAGCACCTCTCATCTCTGTCTATATTGCTGTACCATACTGGTTAGCTTGTATGAGTATGTAAAAAGAAGCCTGATATCTGAAGACATGAAGTCAGTCCAAGAAGTTCTTAACGTATCTGGACCTTGTTGGGAGATGTATGTTTCCAGACAGAGGCTTTCAGAAAGACGGGTTAAGAGATGTATTAGTCCAGCGGGTAGGCATCCTTCGGTGAATCCCCCCTTTGAAATATATCTCAAGAATTAGCTGTAACTACTTTTTGAAACAAACTCCCACTCGCTGATAGCTCGATTTAAATTCAATAGCTGAAAATTTGGTTCTGGACTTTTGATTGCTATTCTAATGAATTTCCTGGACGAGACTATAATTTATGGACGAACCAGACATAAGATGGTGAGTCCTGGGTTTTGGCGCGAAATTCACCTATAATGTTTTAGCATTATAGCTTAAGACAATTCATAGTAAAAACCCCAAATCTAATTCCTAACCCTAACCATCAACTGTAAATCATAATTCTAATCCCTCACATTGGTTCATAACCCTCATTTAGTCCTAGTTAGTAGACGGACATTCTCAAGGTCACCTTAACGTTGCTCAGAGGTCGTTCATAAATTATAGTCTCATCAATTTCCTGTTACCAAAGCTGAAAGTATATATCATCAAATGCAAAATCACGCTTAAATAATTTGAAGGTTATAATCAAGTTTATGTGGCCTATTGTCAACTTAATTGTAGTTCCTTTAAACATTTTCCTGCAATTCATCGACATTGAGACATGGTCGGACAGATATTGCGTTCACTGTTATAAGTATTTTTCCATCTCGGTGATTCAATACTACGTCTTTCCCAGTGGGTCCGGAAACGGCTCTCACTCTCTAATGTATAATATTTGTTACAAAAGACATGTGCGATGGATTATTCCATTGTTTCAGCTGAGTAGCTACATGTATAGTGGGAAAAATGTGTGCGGCAAAATCTTTAGCTTTTTTTCAGAATGACTGATATGTATGAAGTAAATTAAAACTATTGATTATCTCTTGAATCATTTTGAGGTCTTCTACATTACTTGCAGTTTTGTCTTTTTTTAGCGTAATCTACCCTTTGATGGAGTTGTAGATAGTTTCTCGGATGCTGTTAGCCTATTTGGGCCCGAAGTTTTCCACAGAGATGTGAGTTATAGTCGTGTATACTTATTCCATTTTAAGGGTTACTTAGTAATCGCCAGCCCAATTAACGGATGTTCGTTAATTCAGCCTCCACCCATTAATATTAGCTCAGGAGACTTTAACAAGAATTCATCTGTATCTTTTGTCTCTTATTTTGCTTTGATTCAACGCGGTGGATGTGATTTTGATCTAAAGGTGTTGAATGCTCAACAGAAAGGCTATACTGGAGTTATAGTTTTCAACACAATAAACGACAAGATATTTCCTATGAATGGCGGGGAACGTCAGTCCATTATATTTAATTTAACTTTTTGATGATAATTTCCCTTACAGGTGCTAGTCAAATCTTAATTCCATCTGTTATGGTAGATAAACGTGCTGGGTTAAAATTAATGAATTATTCTGTCAATAGTTCTATTAATGGCTCAAGAGAGTAAGTGCAAATTATCATTATAAAGTTTTTCATTTAATGATGTCAAACATTTTCATATATAAATCTGCCAAATTATATTTACAAGAGCTAGCATCATCCCATCGCAGATATCCAGGACTGAAGTTTGATCTTTGGCGGCGTATGTACATCCTGAAATAATGGCTCTCCACAGCCCTTTTTGCTTCACAAGTTTTTAGCACATTTGGATTGTGTTTAGCAACAGAAACCATAGTGTCAGTTTTATCCTATTTAACCAAGATTCAGTTGTGAATACCAAAAATCGGATGTTACAAACTACTACGAATAAAGATTTATACTCTGTAGACAAGGTAATGACTATTCAGACTTATCAAGGAAACCAATATTAAAAATTTGGGAGTTAGTGAAAATACTTCAGAAAAAGATAAGACAATAATCCACTGTCAATTCAGGAGACTGGAACAATTAACAGAACACTTTGAAGAACGGTGTAAGTATTCTCCAGCTACCCTTCATTTATCTACTACCGGACAACCTGAATGAAATTTCAATATAATCCCCCCGACTCTTGAAGGAGTAGTAACAACTATGGCTAGTCTTAATGTGAGGGGAAGCAGCATGTCCTGATGGACTAACACCGGAGATCTTTGAGAACAATGGTCCAATTTCGGCTTTTAGATTGATTGGAATCTTATCTCGAGTTTGAGAACTAGATGTAATTTTATATGACTGGTCTCGATCGCTAGTCGTCCCAGTTTATAAAAAAAACGAAAAAATATCCTCTTATTATGATCACAAGGGAATCACTTTGGCTGATGTAGTATCTGAAATATTAACCTCAATAGTCATCCAACGCTTAACTAGGGCTCCTGAAGAGCGAGCTCGAGAGAAGCAAGTTGGTTCCAGACCTGGACTTGGATGTATAGACCAAATATTCACCCTTCGCTAGGTTTTAGTAAATAGAAATATCCGCTAACTCCTAACCGCAGTTGTATTTCTCGACCTTCAGGCAGCGTTTGACTCCATATATCGATGACTTTTATGGCACAGTTTACCATTGAAATGCGTACTAGAAAAGCACGTTAACCTTGTACAGGCCCTCTACTCGAATACTACTGGTAGAATCAAAGCTTATGGCGAACTGTCATCGGATTTGCTAACTTCAAATCGCTTTCGTCAGGGTTTGTCCGCTTTCTCTGTTTTTACTTAACTTTGCCATAGATATTCTTTTAGTGGTAACATCGTCTGACATTTTAGAAATTGTCCTTTTACTAGGAGGTTTACTTTTTGACTTAAGATGTTGATGTGTGGGCGAGAATGGTAATGATTGGTTGTCTGCTTAGTTAGACACGTAGATAGTCTGATAGGTGTTAGATGAGTTACATATTCCCCTGCCCTTGTTATTATTGTGACTCACTTATTATTGATTGTTCATCGTTGTTGGATTGTGTTGGGTTTTCGATGTGGAAATATATTTATGTTGTGGTCACGCTAATCACGTGTTCTTGATCTGAGTTATGTTGAAGTCCTGTAGAATAGACACTGGGAGGGGATCTAGTGTAGATACTCGTCTAATGTAAATTAACGTCCCATACGTGTAAAAGTGGGGACCCAACCGTCATAACATTAGACGAAGTAAAACTGAGCGTTATAACAAATGTGCAGATAATGTTTTGGTTTGGTAAACATGCTGACAAATTGTAGTCTTCTAACCACCTTAAGCAATGATTCAAATGTGTTTGGGATATGTTTCTGTCTATTTAGATTGAAAATGTTGGTTATCTCACTCATCTTGAAAGTTTCATCAGCCCTGGTGCGTTGGCGTCTGATGAACAGTCCGACAGTCAGTCAGTCAGCTGCAACGTAGGACCAGGTACATATATGCATCGGTCCAAGTTGCCATACCTCATTAACACAACAAGATGGACACCGGATTCGTAAAAGTAGTTAATTCAGAGGTGGTGATATATAAAAGAAAGATTGCAATAAGGATATAGTACAAAAAGAAAGAATTAATTCGTAGAAAGAAAGATATGAAGCGATTTTAATCTCTTAGTTTAATGGAAGACAAAGAGTGTATACACCGAAGCCATTGTGATCGATTCTGAGCCATATCGTCTGATGAAATCTCGACACTAATTCAGGAAGCCTTGTTGGTTCTTGCCATACTTTTGTCACTTGTTGCATAGACGAGATCCTCATCTACCGATTAAAAGATCAGTTTACTGTCCAGCAGTTCGCTCTATTTTACTTTATGTCTATGAAATGGACTTTAAAAATAGAGGATATTCGTAAATTACTAGTATTCAATCATCGGTATCTTAGAAACATAGGTCGTGTAAGTAGGGAATACCGAGTAAACAATTCTGGGGTTACGTGCATGGTACTAGGTGAGTATGGCAAATCGATTGACGAGATATTGAGTCTTCATCTACTAAGATGGTTAGGGAATGTATTACGCATGTTCACTTATCGACTACCTTGACGCACGATGATGACGGGTGTAGAAGGGTGTCGGAAGAAAACTAGGGATACCCAAACCAAGATATAGCATCAGTCCATGAAGCGACTGAATATTGGGTTAAGTCATGTAGTTAGGTGGAGACTACCTTGTTGGAGTCCGCGTGGTTATCGCAACCAATGTTTAGAAGCTTTGAATGACATGGCTCAAAATCATTGGTAATGGTTCAGGTGTATTCACTCGTTTTCTGTTTTTGGACCCTAGGTTTTTAAGTTCCTCATATATTTTTTCCATTGTTTCACCAATTTATCTTTTTATCGAGTTGTATCATGGATGTCTAATATTTTCTATTACCATTAATACTGTTACTACGTCTACTACTCTTGGATTTATCCTAGTAATTTCATCTTACTGTACTAATGGAGTATGGCAACTTGAATCTATATACATATGTATCAGGTGCTACGTTGCACTTTATTAGGGTCGGGAACCAGGTTATCAAAAAGAAGAGTCAGTAAACGAATTCTCACTTCTCAATAGGCTGATCAAAAACAAGAAATCATATGCGAAACCAAACCCCATAAATCAAATGTTTAGTTATCACTCTGATGGCACACAACAACTGCTTACGTAAATTAATTAGAAGAGCCAAAACTGAATACAGGATTCTCACTACGTGTCAAAATGATCAAAGCCGTTCTCTGACCGTTTTCCTTAGAAATAACTGAATAATTTAACGGATACGAAGTAATTAGAGAACTTACTTTTTGAAAGTGTTAATGATGAGGATAAAGCTCCACGATTAAAACCATCTATTTTGAAAGATATACACCACTAAATGTCCCTTTTATATTATACAAAATCAAGCAAGTAGTAGTAAATAAACTTTCAATCTTACATTACTCTTTTCGGGTGTTCACAATATTTAACTTCACTTGAAAATGTAATAAAAAGCGTAGAATGTGTTTCTAAAGCTTGTCATTGATTTTCTACTTTAATGCTTTTGAAATGCATTGATAACATTTTAAAGGTCAAGTATGACTTTCGAAAACACAACTGTTTTATCTAACCTCACTAAGTAACCTGCTAGATATCTATCACATTGTAATTCAGTCCAGACCAATTGTGTAATAGTTTTGGAGAATAAAAGATTTTTATGTATCGAATTCATTCCTGCTCATCATTAATTGGATCTAGCTAAACATTAGTTATTGGTAATTATCGTTTAAAAAGTCGTATGTTGAACTTCAGTCATTCTTTTTCTATCAACGTACTTGGAAATACACTAATCATCCAGTTACTGTCTGTTCCAGACTATATTTCACTTATTCGTTGACTATTGTGTTTGGCTTTACTTTAAAGCTAACAATTTTTACTACATTAAAAGAATGAAACTGTTTTAACTCGTGAGAGTTTCCATCCTCCCACTATTTCAGGTACATCCAACTGACGAGTCTCAAATAAGGCGAGAAACGCATCTGAATTTTGTTGTTAGTCACTGTTTAAATTTCCTAAAAAATTGTGATTATGCTTATAGTAATTTGACTTATTTGCTTTATAACAGTCTCATTATATGGGCGAATGCACGAAACCTCAGTCATATACACTAAAAACAATGATTTGACCACTTTAAGCAACAATGCAAGCATGTTCGGGATGCGATTCTCTCCCTCGAAATGCAAAATGTTGCTTCACGATTGGGTTACATCGACACCCAAACTAGTGATAGGGAGTGAAGTAGTTGAGTGTGTCGACCGCTTCACTTATCTTGGAAGTCTCATCAGCCCTTGTGGTTTGGTGTGTGACGAAATCTCAGCACGGATACAGAAGGCTCGACTAGCTTTTGCCAACTTGCGTCATTTATGGCGTAGGCGAGATATCCATCTATCAACCAAAGGACGTGTTTACTGCGCAGCAGTTCGTCCCGTCCTACTTTATGGCAGTGAAACATGGCCGGTAAGAGTAGAGGATATTTGTAGGTTACTAGTATTCGATCATAGGTGTCTTCGAAACATTGCTCGTATATCATGGGACCATCGAGTAAGTAACACAGTTGTCAGGGAACGGGTACTAGGTAAGGATGGCAAATCAATTGGTGAAGTAGTGAAACTTCATCAGTTGAGATGGCTGGGACACGTGTTATGTATGCCCAACGACCGACTACCTCGACGTGCGATGTTCAGTGGTATAGGAGTAGGCTGGAAGAAAGCTAGAGGCGGCCAAACCAAAACATGGCACAAGTCCATGAAGTCACTGACAAGTGGACTGAGTCATGTTGGTAGGTGTAGACTACCTGGTTGGGGACCACGAGATGATAGCAACCGATAGTTAGAGACCCTGAATGACATGGCTCAAAATCGTTTGCAATGGTGTAGGTGCATCCACTCTCTGTGTTCTCTCAAATTCTAATCTTCTGAATTCTTCATGTCCTTTTTTTCCTCTTTCCAAATTTATTTCACTGGATTATACTCTTTAAATAACATCTTCAAACCCTAATCTTCCCGATTACTGCTTATACTCTTGCTACCTCTACCACTACGGGATTTGAATCGACAACTGCATCTCTGTGCTAATATGGTGTGGCAACTCGAACTGATGTACGTACATACGAAGTTCTACGTTGTTACTGACTGACTGACTGATGATTTGAATTATGGTTTAGCATTTTGGGCACTTCATATCCACTATTCATTTCAGTGGTTATTAATTTATTTACTGCATATCTGAAAAGAATTTTACAATTAAAAGTAACTAGAATGATTTTAATAAATTAAATGTATTCACTAATGATGAAGTAGCAACTCCGCCTGTAGCTCTTCTAGGAACCAGACAACATACCAGCCGAAGCAATGAAGTCAGACATAGAAGTAATTGCAAACATGTTCCACGTTCTATTCAGAAAGATTTGGGAGGAGGAACAAGCGCCAACAGACTGGAAAGTAGGATACCTCATGAAGATACCAAAGAAAGGAGATCTGAGCAAGTATGAGAACTGTTTTGCAGAGGCATTACACCACTATGAATACCGGTAAACGTTTTCAATAGAAAATTGTTGAACCGGATGAGAGGCTCAGTAGACACCAAACTTCTAGATCAGCAGACCGGAATTCAAACTCAATGGAGCTCGAAACAACTGTCAACCAATACCAAAGTCGAAATCTTTAATGCAAGCATCAAGGCAGTTCTATTGTACGGTGCTGAAAGTTGGAGAACTACTACAACTGTTATCAAAATGTACAAGTATTTATAAACCATTGTCTACAGAAGATACTGAATGTTCGTTGGTCGGATACCATCAACAAAAACCTACTGTGGGAGAGAACAAACCAGCTTCCAACTGAAGAAATCAAGAAAAGACGCTTGGGTGGACCGACCATGCATTGAGTAAGTCATCAAAATGCATTACGAGTCAAGCCCTAACTTGGAATCCTGAAGGGGAGAGGAAAGAAGAAAAACCAAGAAACACATTACATCGGAAATCGGAGGCAGATATAAAAAAAATGGGTAGCACCTGGAAAAGATTGTCCAGGAAAGAATCGGATGGAAAATCCTGTTGTGTAGTCTATGCTTCTCCACTAGGGACAATAGGCTTAAGTGAGTAGGTGACGACGTAACATATCAAAAAAGGTTTATTGTCAGTCAGTTAGTCAGTGATATGCCAAGTAAAACCTGACATATATGTGCATCGGTCCTAGTTGCTGTATTACATTAGCACAGCGAGATACTATTATTTCAAGACAAATCCTGGAATAGTACAAGTAATAACATAGGTATAGAAAAAGAAAAAAAACAGGTATAAGAAGATTTCAGGATTAACGTTCTAAAGGAACTCAAAAAGTGAATGCATCTGCTCCATTGCGAAGGATTCTAATCTATTCCATCCATAGTCTCTAACTATTAATTACGATAATCACGTGGACCCCAATCAGGTAATTACTTATCATCACATGGCTACGTTTTACTTAGTTTTTCCCTCAATTTTACTGTTTATTTTATGTCTCCCTTAAATGATATATTCGAATTCAATATTATAATTTTTAATACTTTCCATTTATAGATTTATGATAAGTATCGTAAGCTTTTATGGTTTACCATTGAAATATGTACTTCTTGCACTTTTGATTGTTGTTGGCATTTCATTGCTGATCCTTGTAATTGCATTTACTATTCATTTATGCCGTTTTTGGCGTCGAATACGTCGTGGTCGTCTATCACGACGACATTTACGTCAATTAGTTTTAAAACGTTTTAAAAAAGGTAAGCTTTATTTTTGTTTAAATATATATAAATTTAAGATAATAATTTATTCGATTGTTTTCAAAATCCAATAACTGGTGTATGTGATCCTATTACCAGGATGATATTCAAAAATTCAATCTAATATCGTACATAATCATCACAGTTGGCTTGAAAATTTGCTTAATGGTCAGCATTCACACTACAAAATTGTATTGAACTACTCTCCGAATTCGAATTAACCAAAACAAATAAGTACATCATGTAATTTATACCGTAAAATAATTCGTTTTCATTGAAATATTGGTAAATTGCTTGAAATAAGTAGGTTGCGAACATCATACAGAAACGATATTTAATAGTAAGTGAAACGATACATTGTTTAAATCTCACTACTGTAGAACCTCATACTAACTGTTAACTATGTCAACTAGATTGTCTATTTTTCTATTCGAATTGGATGTGTAACATAGCATGGTTGAGATAACAAGAATATCCAATTGTTAATAAGTTGGAAAAAGTGTAGTATTTGTTGAAAGCAGACTCTTAATGGGAACCATACTTTTGATCATTCATAGAGGCAAAGGGATAAAGGGTAAATCGGACAAATCTCAGGTCATTAAAAGTTTTCACCCTCACTAATGTTTTCCTATATATGTACGTTTTTGATGTGAGACCTTTTGTAACTCTCTTTCTTGTGGATAAATACAATAGGCCCCTACTCTTTGTTATGTATAAACTATACTTCATTCCTCAAATTGTATCACACCCGTAAACTGACATAAGGTACTCATTTTGCGTAGTTATAGTTGTGCTTACTAAACATTAGCTTATCTTACTTGACTTATAAGTGATTTAAGTTTGTTAAACCACTGGATGATTAGTTATCAACCATTCCGACTTCGGCTTGATCTACTGGGTAGTATCATTAGCCTTCATACTTTGGATGTGGCTCTTACCCAAATACCTAGTGAATGGATTTATTTACATTGAAATTTTATGAAGTATCCTAAAAGTTAAGGACTTTTCTTCAGTGTTACCCTAGTGATAACTATTAAATAGTGTTAATAGTAGTTGTAGTGGGATAAAGTTTTTCTATTTTTGTTGACCTTATGTGCACGTGTAACAGTTTGTTGCTGTTCTCATAGCGCATAAATCTAAAACATTTTTATTGTCAAAAGTAGAGACATTCTTTCTCATGCTATGTTACTGAATTTAGGTAGGTTATATACTGTTTAATTCATTAATGAAGCGTTAATGAACCCTACTGTTTAATTATCATCTGTCTAGAATGTATTTTTATCCGAATATGCTACTATCTTTTTTCCCACGGTTTATTTCTGAATAAACTAGGTCTGGATCCATATGATGTATGTTGTATATGTCTAGAGGACTATGTGGATCGAGATAAACTACGCCTATTACCATGTCAACACGGTATGTTTATGCATAGATATACAATATTTCGTTCATGTCATTCTGAGTTACTTTTTCTTGTTTTTCGCTTGTCTAGTACTTTTTTATTTTATGAATTCATTCTTTTTTCTTAAGTCATATTGTCATTCCGAGCTACCTTTTCTTGTTTTTGCTTGTCTAGTACTTTTTTATTTTGTGAATTCATTCTTTTTTCTTAAATCATATTGTCCATATCCGATCTTTTCTACTTGCGGAATTAAAAAATTGATCGTATAAAGAGAAATCATGACATCTAATATAATTAGTACTTTATGTGATTTATGTTATGATGACAACCAGAATATAATACATCAGTATCTGGCAGTCAAAATAGAGGATGAACTGTAGAAAAACTTGATTTTCGAGGTACAGCAACCAATACAATACAAATTGGTTTAACTTCATAGATATGGTAAAGAAAACATGGCTTTCAGGCATACAGAAATTTAGCGAACTGAAAGCGATGTTAGAGTCATAAAAAAGCAAAGATCAAGCAAAAAATTAAATTAGAAAGGAAGGGCACTTGAGGTTATCATTTCTAGTAAAATTTCAGCACCGTGAAACCAAACATGAGAAATCTTTTGATCGTCTTAGCAGGTTAATTGCTGATTATACGTAAACCTGTATATATGTATATATATATATATATATATATATATATATATATTACAAAGAGAGTGTTGACTTCATTTTGGGCTTTTGCATTTTATTCGCATACATATTTTATTATGTTTTGGTGTCACTCTCCCTCGTTCAAATCATATGATTTAATGTAGTAGATAGACATATAGCTGTACTCCGTAAATTATTATTCAAGTATATATATATATATATTTTTTCCAAATTAAAATCTGTGACTTGAAAAATATGCAAGAGATAGTTGTCGATTTGTTTAGTAGAAATAATTTAAAGTTTATTGTCTGGTGTTTTGTTTCTCTCTCTGTGTGTCTGCTTAGTACTTACTGTTCACTTAGTTGTTTGTTTCCATTTCATGTGATCAACACATTCATGTATTTTCCTCTGTATATCCATATTATGCTTAGTGCTGATTAGCAGTAATCGATTTGTTTTGATTATAAGTTACGCTAAATAGCACTCTGAGTTCATTGAATAAAATAATAATTCAAACTGAAGTTTGACTGTCAAGCCTGTGACTTAATAAATATAAATCAAGAGCTTAACGTCATCATTCAAGTTTGTTGTTCAAGTAATCGTTTTCTGAAAATAAACGATTGATATATTTAGTACATAACGGTAGCACATTTCTTTTGGCACGTGCTTTGCACCTTCTAAGTTTAAATTATTTTCACAAAACTGGTAGAACTCTGTGCCTGCACTCACTCTTGGTAGTCAGCAGTTAGAAGTAGTTGAGAAGTTCTTGTATCTAGGTAGCTATGTAAGTGCTGGTAGTGGAGCGAGTGATGAGATCTATTTACGTATAGTGGAAGCCATGGTGGCTTAAACCAATCTGTGCTATCTTTGGGGCCTTCATGATGTTGGTTTGGTTGTAAATGGTCGGATTTACAACGGTTGATTAGAGGTGTTTTGCTCTATGCTTGTGAAACCTGGTTTCTTCGAGTTGACGACAATTAAATTTGTTTCACCATCTTGGAACACCGACTTCTGTGTCTTGGACAAGCCATACGAATAACGTCCCAGAGAATTCCACTCCGTGCATTATTCGCCGACAATACGATTGGTCGGAAAGATCTGAGGGCTGGTAAGTGTATGACATCGTGTCGTAGTATGGTAGAAAGCTATACGGGCCCGGGACCTGTTATTATTGTTATTTATTATTTGAACACATTAGCATTAGTACAAGGAGGCACCAAATATATATGCGTTGCAAAAAATCATTTAGTTTTTATGGAGACTGGGATACTACTGCCCGGGCGCCCAAACTGCAGCAGTGGTTTTCTTAGAGGGCTACACTCCGAGCCCTTAAACTAAAGGTCTGATCCACAAGTGGGGTGAACAGAGAACTAAAGAAGCCATGACAAACAACAGCTACTCTTTGGGACGTTATTCCGCTTAATTCAAAGTTTCCAATATATTAACATTTAGTTTTATCTATCTCACGTCAACCAATCAGGTAGTAAAATAGTTTTCGTCTCTACCCAAGGTCATTAGTCTCGATTCGGACTCACGCATTTCTAGCCCCAAGGTTAAACCAGTTAGCCTATTGTGTCAAGTCCTTAACCTGTATGGAGACAGGTTCTCTCCTCTATATTATATATTAGACAGATCAAGGACGTAATAAGCTAGTGGAGGAACATTAGGAGATGCAGTCCCGTGCTGGTCGAGAATAGGTTCATACTATATTTGTTCCCTAAAGATCCGATGTGCATCATTATTTTAGAATCGGGGTTTTCCAACTCCTCTAGATGGATCCTCTGTACCCACCACCACCTCGGTTAAAGCGTGGGACATTTGCTTTTCGTCCTCTCAATTTCGTTAAACAACACCCCATCACGAGAAGGCAGTGAGTAGGACTTCCTTGAAATTTGCTGTATACACGTGGCCATATGAGAGCGTTTCTAGGAGAGTTAGCTCTCCTTACCCTCAGCTGTAGAAGGATATTGGGGGTTCTCTCGGTTCTTCGCGACTTTCTGGTTGGGGTCCTAGGGATTGTTCAACACAGTCGCTTGAGACGTTATTAGAAACCAGTGGTGATCCTACTGTAACTTTTTTACTTCCTTCATATAAGTGCGAGGTACTTCTTCAACTGAAAGAACCCTTGTATTTTTCGTAACCGAATTACTATTATTATTTCACTTTTACGCCAATTCCTATTCATTTTCGTTCTGTTTTTATTATACTCATCTTCGTTTCTCGATCTGTACACAATTTCATTTCCTTATCGAGTGGCGCATATATATTTTGGTCCCCCTGTTTACCAATATTTATGTCTAAATTTATAAAACAAAACACAGTATGCGAAGTTTCTTAGCATACCATCAATTTCAGTCATTACTCTTAGTCAGCCTAAGTGAAATGAAGAACAACAGGAAAAAGCGAGAATGTATATTAAATTTTATGTACTAACTGTTCTTCCCTCCTATTCAACAGATATCAAAATACATAATTTTATAGTAGTCAACACTTGATTATTTTCTTCGTGATAACGCATGTAAGGAAATCTATATATGCATGATCTTCGGTGACCAAAATAGATTTTAAGGTTAAACTCATCAAACTTTCTTTTTAACGGTAACCTACTCACAGAAACTATGTTTCTATTTTTTCTTAAGCAATCCATCGACGTTCATGGTCGTAATTGTATTTTTATATATCTAATGTAGCCGTAATTTAATCCTTGATCGAACTAATGAGCAGCAGTCATAAGTAAACATCGTTTGAATGATCCAAGTATCTTTGACTTGTTTGTCGAATAATATAGAAGGTAGGAGGGTAAGAATTGTTATCTCAGTTCATAAGTATGTACCGGATAAATGTGGGGTGATAACATAAATTAGAGACCTGTTGTCAGCTAATCACAGTTTAACTAGATCATCATTGTTGACTTGGAAAGCTACACACTTCTGGCCTAACTTGCGAAAAACATGACAACCTTTGTTTATTTGAAATAGCCATCATTTTGAGTTGCATGAAGCATTTCTTCGATTTGTAGTAAATCAATCCGGACGATTGATAACTAAGGTGACCTTCAACTTTAAGGTCATTAGGCAGAGTGAGTTTAAAAAGTACACATCAAGCAGTGAAAATAAAGAGTGAAGAAAAATCCAAAGACATTAAACATCTTATTCGTCAAAGTAAAGTTGTAGAGTGCTTTTATTTTCATACTTGATTTTTATCATGGCACTACAGATAGATATAAGAATGCAGTTTATTTGTCACTTTCGTAGATACAAAATTCTACATGATCTCACCTTTGTCGAATATCAATTCATGTATAGATAGTTATAATGTATATTTTAAACCTTTACAGCTTTTCATATGAAATGTATTGATCCCTGGTTACTATGTAATCGTCGACGTTGTCCAATATGTAATCAAATAGTTGAATTACCCGGCGCACCTTCAACATCCGATGAAACTGAAACAGTAGAACCTAATAATAATAATGGTTTTTTACTATACATACCAAGAAGACTATTGAATCTCATTAGACGTCATTCTCATGAATCAATGAATACTAGACGCCGTTCGGTAGAATCCGATCAATCTAATGAACATTATCAAATTGATGAAGAGCATACTCCGTTACTACAAAATGATGCAATTCAAAATCATCATGTTTGTAGTGATAATGTCATACATAATTCTTCCCTAATATCAAGACGTCCTGAAATTCATTCTTCATCACAAGTTGGTATGTTTAAGCGTACTTTTTTTATATTCTATTTTAGTTTACGTTAACATTATCAATGGATCATGTTTATTTTCGTAACATTTTGTATTGGAAGTCTTCATTGATAATTGCAGCTTGCATCACGTAGTAATTTTGTTTAGATAACCACTGAAAGCTATGGAAGACTGGACAGTTGTTTCGCCCAACTAGTATGAAACTCATCATCAGTGTATATCCACAACTCTGTCCAGGAGTAAACCTAGAACAATGAGATTTTGTAGCGACCTCATCACTCTTTAACCACCAAGTTGACATCCAATAGTTCACAATTCTTATTCCAGTCAATTCGTGATTATTTGAGGGTTATTTATCTCTAAATAGTAGGTTAAAACTTTATGGAGATTTACTGCATATAATTCAAATTCTCAACCCTACAACATTGGATGCCTTCATTAATCAATAAATGTTTATTTATATTCTAGACATTGAGTTCGAATCAGTTATGATAAAGCAGTCAGTTATTTCCTCGAAGATTTATTGTATCTGCAGAAAAGCGTGTAATAAGTGTTAAACTGAAGGTACCGATTGTATGATAAATACCATATTTTGCGCGTTTGACCACATATTATTACATCATTATTCACAAATCAGCGTAATATATTCTCATGATGACCCAACGTCACCAAATGTAAAGCAAGCACATAGTGGTTCCGTAGATCTATCACCTAGAGAAAAACTTACCAGCCTCAGGTAAGCTAATGACATTGTTCTACCGTACAATGATACATAGGCTATCCGAATCTCACTTAATTAGTTGGAAATCGGCATCTGTACTTTACACCTAAATTCATAGTATGTCTGCAAGACTGATAAGATTCTATCCTTGCATTCACTTTCTGTGCTGAACCTCTGAAAATAGTTTTGTCAGTCCTTGTGATGTCTTGACTGCTGAGATCAGTCTACAGTTAACGAAGTCAGAATAGCTCATTTCAATCTGAGTCACTTTTCTCACCTTCATTATGTTAGCTGGGCTGTAAAATGTCGTGTTTACAGTGCGTCACCATGAGCGGTTCTGCTCTGTACTGGGAGTGTTTAATGACTCGGGGTTCACTCACCATCGTCTCCGGAGAAACGGTCACATTGATTGGTAATATCATCTTACCAATACTGAGGTTCACTAATGTGTTTGGACGCTGTAACTATAAATCAGGTAATGTCACCAACTTTGAGATTTTAATCATGTATTATGAAGGTCGTTGCACTCGCTTCCATACTGTACATTATTTAGTCGCTCTAGGATTGTTTGGAAAAGGCGAGAAGGTGTTCAGTTTATCACTTGGCATTGCAGTATGAAAGATGTATCTTGTATAACACATTAATTTCCATTGATTCTTCAAATTAGTCAACTAATTTCATTATAAATTATGAATAAATAATCATTCTGTATCAATAAAAATAATATATTTGTAATATCCCAATGATTAGTAGATATTACAAATATATTACTTTATTTATAGAAATCTACTCAATGTTCAATTTATTTTAAATTATCAAGTTAAACATTGGTAATGACACAAAATCATTCCGTATGTTATTCCAAGTATTTTCAATTTGTTGGTATTTTTTTAGATGAAGATGATGAAATGTTACGTTCCGATTTGGTTGATCTAAAACAATCATCTGGTCGATCAAGTTCAAGTCCACCGGCTATTGAATCTTTGAATAATTGTAATGATTTAAATAATGATCCTTTCAATATATTCCCATCAACATCATCATCAAATTTAATTCAACAAAAGTTATCTCCAAATTCATTAGCATCATCTTCTATTGAATCAAAAAGAAATACGCTTGAATTACCTCAAATGACCATCACAGTTACATCAAATATATTATCAACTACATCAGAGATGAAAACTGAAGATACAGGAGATGATGTATTAATCACTGATGTTAAAATGTAAGAACCGTATAAAAAATGATTCATATTTATTTGGATAAATAGTATTCTACAAAATTTAATAATGATAAGATTATAATTACCACTTTGTTATTGTATCCAAGTGAATACTCATACAGTATATATAAACAGCAATAATCTTTGTTATTTCACATGGTTTCTTGATTCCCAGTTATTTTCATTGAAATAAGTGTGCATATTATTAAACTATTACTTCATCGTTATCATAGTAAGAGTAATTGTTTGTGTTCTAACTAAAGATATACTTATTATTACTATTGTTACACTAGTTCAAATAGATTCCAAACAAAAAACATTGTGTTCACGTTCACATCAATTAATTAAACGTAACTACTATAGTTCTTCCAACCAATTTGTATGTATGTATGTAAACGTTATACAAAATAAACTTCATATAGAAGAAAATCTTATTTTATTAAGCTTCACTGTAATATTAATAATAATAATCATAACTACTCCCGTCAGATTCTTTTTGCTCTGATGTTCTCTTTTTGTTAATTCTTGTTCCTTTTTTTAAATCAATTACATTCAGCGTTTCTCTCATTGTTATTTTCTTGCAAAAACGCAGATATATTTTTGGGCTGTGTTGTATTTTTTAATTAATAATTATTATCATTGAATTAAAAAGAAAATTTTTGCACATTTTCCATGTATATGATTTAGTTCACTGTCACAAATAGGTGCAGTAGAGAGAGAGAAAGCAAAGTAAAGATTGAGGAGTGTAATACATAGAGAAACAGGAGAATATTCATTGGAACACAATTTATTATCATAATTTCATTTTGTAAAAGAAAACAATACGAATCAGACTGATCACTTCGTCTCACAATCAGACATTTATTCTCTCTTCAGTTCGTTTTCTTTTTTTTTAATCACCACTTCTTTCTGTTTCTTTTTTTGTATACCTATATATGCGAAATAAATTTCTGTGTAATCCTTACGTAGTTTTGTTTTTATTTATTTATAGTTATTTATACTTTTTAAACAATTTTAGTTATCAGAAGGGGTTTTATGGAGATTGTAGTGATTTCAATAGTTAAGATCATGAGTTAATTGAAGCTAGATCACCATGGAAAACCTGGAAGCAATGGACGGCCGTTTCGTTCTATTATGGGACTCCTCATCAGTGCGCATCTCTGAAAAATTCCCATCATGTTAAAACATATATATGTGAACGAAGAATATTCTTTTCAGTAAATCTTCTTCAGGTTCTACAATTATATATTCAAATTACTAATTTGAAAAGTGGCCAGGTTTGAGGCTAAATACATCGTTTAAAACTGTAGGATGTGAATTTAGGATTGTTTGTAGTATAAAATAAAAGAATAATGACTAATATATCGTGTTAATAGCAATCTGCTCAAACCCTTCAGACGGCTGAAGGAATAACTATTCGGATGAAAATGCTGGAGGTTTATGTCCAAAAGAAATATGTTCAACCGCTCGTTTAACCTTGGCAAACTGATAACCTAATTAATCTATAGTAGCTTTCGTGCAATCGATTTTGTTCATATTTAATTCGGTTAAGCCCTTTTGTTAACTTATTTAACGGATAGAGTCAGTCGTATAATAACAACTTACCTATATCACTATACCTTTATTATTGTTTCACTTGTATGAATATGTATGTTTGAGCATTGCTTACTGCATACGCATGTATTCATTCTGCTAGCATTACAGTTATTTAATTGATTCGATGATTCATTCATTTCACTATATATATATATATTTTGTTCCTGTTCACTCGCACGCCCACCCGCTTTGATGCAACCTGGTTGCTCAAACCGATATTGAAGGAGCTTCCCTCGAATCTAACTTAGTGTCCCCAGAATTCAAAATCGTTAACCGCTAAGTCATCACTCCAACTATTATTAACTAATTTGACCTGTTTCTAGTTTGTTAGTTGATATAAGTAATGGTAACATTATTTATTACTTAGCATAACTTTAGTTACTTTCAAAATTATTCGTATTTTATCCACAAAACGTGCTTGAGAAAATACGTTATCATTTCATAAGGTATATGTTTTTCGTGACTTATGATGGTTGAGAAATTATTCTTCAAATTTTATGTTTTTTCTCTGTACAATTTCCATATTTGTAATGAAAGTTTTTAATTAATTATTTTAGAATTAAAAGTGCAAGTGTTTTCTTCTTTAGCTTTGTAAAGAATATTACATGTAATGGATTTTATAAATTTGGTTACTGATATGCTACTTGTTAGTAGGTAAATCATTTTATGCAAATTTTGGTAAGATTGATGTGTTCTAAACAAACCGGGTGAATTTTTCATTCTTGCCAGTTATTAAGGTTATTGTTATAAGCTACAGCGGTTGAACAATATCGGATATCTTGTTAAAATTAAATAGTTTTGCCAACTGTTTCACACATCTTGGAGGCAATGTTCATGAGGAACTGATTCAACTAGTAGAATATTAGAAAGTACTGAACAGCCATTCTAGTACCGGTTTGAGATGCCAATAGCACTGAACACTCGCTAAAAACCACTTGATAATATTAAAGTCCTTAGGGGTCATTGGTTTTACTAACCACTGAGTGTTAAACTGATGTTTCTTCATTTCTTAATTTATCCGTTTGTTTTATGATGCAATGATACTAAAATTAAGATGCATTGACACCCAACTGACGAACTCGAAGTATTGCAAAACATGCGTTTTGGATTGTATTACTGAGCACATTTTAAATATATTTCAAAAAAATTGTTAATAAAAGATAATATTGAGGTACGCATTCAGGATGCACATAATTCAATAGAGATTAGTCAAATTTAGACTCGAATATGCATGATGGTAAGGAACACATTTTTACTAGTGCATATAAATGCTATTGAAACTTTAAAAGTGAAAAATCCACAGAGTAATGATTTAGTGCTTTTAAGGATTTTTCAATAAAATTCATATTTATCTAAACACAAACATCGGTACAAGTAGGCACCAAATATTTATGCACCACACAAATTTGATTTGCGTTAGGGGTGGAATGCTACCCGGGTGCCCAAAACGATGCAGGTGGTTTTCTTAGGAACCGAGCCCTTGACCTAAAGGTTTAATCCACAAGGCAGTGGATCAACCTTAGGAGATGCAGTCCCATGGTAGCCAGTGGCCAACAATAGATTCACAAGCCATTTGTTCCCTCGGGATCCTAGAGCTCATGTTCACTATTGCTTTGGAATCTGGGTTTGCTAACCCCCCTAAGCGGATCCTCTGTACCCACCACCAACTTGGTTAAAGCGTGGGACATTCGCTTTTCGTCTTCTCAACTTCGTTAAACAACACCCGCGAGAAGGCAGTGAGTAGGACTTCCTTGAAATTTGCTGTATACGCGTGGCCATATGAGAGCATTTCGAGAAAGAGAGCTATTTTTCCCCACCCTCGGCCGTACTAGAGCGTTTGGGGGCCAATATCGAGAAGTTGATGTATTCATACTTTTTCCTAATCCCAAATTATTATTAGTCTAAACCTCTGTATCTGATACTTCAAAAGTTTCGAGGTCATTGATAATCGTATAGAAACTTTGATTCACGAATCTGAACTAATTTTGAAAGGAAATCTTTCTTATTTAGAATGTGTACAATTATGGAGTGCCAAGGTGCACTAGATAGCTCTTTTATCTTGCTACCATCATCCTCTGCAGTGCACAGCTACAACAATTTCAGGGGTCAGTGTTTAAGGGTCTCAGATTTGTGAAAGTATTCAAAAGTCAGTGTTACAATCGTCGTATGCACCAAATCTAACACTAACGTATCTGTAAATATTAACGATCTAGGCTTTTAATCTCTTCTATTTTTAATGTTGTCTCGTTGTTTACCCAAGTTCAACTATGAATATTGTCTTATTCCGAAATAATGCGAAATGGATCCCAATTATTTTGTTTCGTTTTCTGAAATTAAAATAGATCACTGCTGATTTGTAGAAAATTTAATAAACTATTTGAGATTCAAGTAATTAATGTCATTACAGTGATTATTATTATTATTATTATTCTCGGCACGATTGAACTCCACTAATCACGGCTTCTCACTAGAACCCTGAGAATTAGCTCTCGAAGTCAATCACTAACGTATTTAAGTGACTGCATAAATAGCCAAATAAATAATGATTAGAAAAAACATCTTTAAGAAATTTGGATTCAGTCCAATTTATTTTGTAAAATACATCTTGTTTTTATTTCATATATGTTTGTTATTCGAATCTTCCGATTGATGTTTTGGACTGGAATTGATCAGTCTCTTTTGATAAATATGCATCCTTTGCGAATTGCCTCGACATTGCCAGTAATTCACTAGCATTTTAGGGGAGATGGATGATGGCTAGCAGTGGAATCCATGACACTCGCTTCGTTCTATTTCTGATATGTCAGCTGGATATGCCTGGATCTCAGAGTTGGTGTTCATTCCGGGACTGGAACATAGTACTTTTCACTTTAAACGCCATCGCGTTATTCACTTACTGTTATAACTTGAAAAAGCTGATCTTTCTTGATACTACCGCGTAAAACTGAGCACTAGAACACCAAACCCTTCCAAGTCGCAAATAAGAAGACAGAAGACTAACGAAAGGAATATTATTCCAAACAGTGTCAAACATAGTACAAAATTGTCAGGTATTTATAGTTTTTAGTGAGAACGAAATCATCATTACAGTCTTCCAATCCGCGTACAGGGGGTTATTAGCGTTATCCAATGGGGAAGCTACACGTTGGAATTCTGGGACATCCTTCCGAAAGGTGATTGGATGGAACGTCTTCGGCTCCTTATGAGCCTCTTACAGCTTCCTCGAGTTCACCGGTGGTCCGTCGTCACACCTCCCCCCTTTAAAGTCCGTTGTGTAAGATTTTTTTCTTGGATCCACCTGAAGCTTGGGTGTCGCATTCCCCTTGCGGACCATTACTCTCGAGGGTTGTACAGCCTTCTCTCTGCGTCGTTTGTCTTTTCGATATTTGCGCTCATGATGGTTCTTCTGAGACGAATCTACGAGCAATTGAAATGGAAGCCGGTTTTCTGTGACCACTGTACTATCATTTCTTTGCATTTGATTTATGTGTCTTATGCATTTCCCGACATCTTTCCGGACTAGGTACAGTACATTTCCGATTCAACGTTCTATGACACCTGGTTCCCACTTCCTATTACCTTGATACGATTTGACAAGTACCTTTTCACCCACCTGGAAGCTTCGATTGACCTTACGATTTTCATTCGTGGGTTTATTTGTCTTTCTGGGCGGTAACATACTGTTAAAAACTGTCCGGATTTTCCTTCCGAACATACACTCGGCCGGAGGCTTTCCTTCTGGTACTGCCGGATTAGGGGTAACTCTGTAAGACATCAATAACTTATTAATCACTTGTTCCGGGACACCCTCACCTCCCTCTTTGACCAGAGCTCTTTTAATTGTATCCACGAATCTTTCTGCCTGGCCATTCGACTGAGAATGGTATGGAGGAGATTGAAGATGCAATATGCCATTCTCGTTGCAGAAGCGTTTGAAGGCAGATGACATAAACTGAGTACCATTGTCGGTCACTAAGATCTCTGGAACCCCAAAACAGGCAAACAATCCTGACAATCTTCTTATGGTACTCTCTGAAGTCGTATTCGGCATGTCATATACTTCCGGCCATTTTGTGAAAGCATCTACAACAACTAAGTAATTCCTGCCTTGTATCGGTCCGGCGAAATCAGCATGTATTCTTTGCCAAGGCCCGTCCGGTTTAGGCCATGGTTGTGGCTCAGCTCTCGTTGGATTCTTTGCAGCCTCTTGACAGGACCAACAGCTGCGACATTTTTGCTCTATCTCATGGAGTGCTAATCCATTGGGGTTTCCCCGCGTGGGTTCGAATCCCATCCCCGTCGCCAGATGTTATAACTTGAAAAAGCTGATTTTTCTTGATACAACCGCGTATAACTGAGCACTAGAACACCAAACCCTTCCAAGTCGCAAATAAGAAGACAGAAGACTAACGAAAGGAATATTATTCCAAACAGTGTCAAACATAGTACAAAATTGTCAGGTATTTATAGTTTTTAGTGAGAACGAAATCATCATTACAGTCTTCCAATCCGCGTACAGGGGGTTATTAGCGTTATCCAATGGGGAAGCTACACGTTGGAATTCTGGGACATCCTTCCGAAAGGTGATTGGATGGAACGTCTTCGGCTCCTTATGAGCCTCTTACAGCTTCCTCGAGTTCACCGGTGGTCCGTCGTCACACTTACCTAATAAGTTCACATAGCCACTCAATGACGTTCAAAGTACTGGGTTTGAGTCCCGAAGTGTACATCAACTCTGGGATCCAGGTTCAT